GGGGGGGGGGGCTGCTGTGTGAGTGTGTGTTTTTAATTATTCAGCTTTTTGCTCTTGTTGCCCCTCCTGCAGCCCTCAACTGTCAGTGCTGTTGCATGAGAAAGAGCTTTTCCGGTTCATATCTATAGATCTATATTCGTACGTATTGCTAGATACTAAAAGTCGATCGATATATCGCTCTTCCAAAAAGTAATGCAGCAAAAGCGACTCGACTAGCTCTCCTGAATGTTCTCGCCTGTTGTCTGTGTTCTGTTACATGTTAGTGTATCACATCAAATGATTTTGCCTTCAGCTTCAGCAGACGACATTTGCTAATCGGTCGTGTTGGTCTTTGTCGACTAAGATTTAATTTGTTATTTTCTATGCTTTTCTTTTTTTTTAGTGCTGAATGACTTACGAGCACATCGCTGCCAGACACAAGATCTAAAAATGGTGCCTTTGTGTGATTCGTTGTGGAGAAAGATTTTACAGGTCTGTCGATTACATCAACTCATCGATTAGTGTGGTAGTCGACATCCCTACTTATCTTGCATTCAGACATCTTGCACCAAAAACTTAAAATATAGAAATCCTGCAGTCGAGTAATGAGAAGGTCACCAGCTCCCAGCAGGCTGTTTGTGTGTCCGCTCAGCTTGTTACACAACACCGACGGATTCCAAACATCAGCTGAGTCAGGACTCCTAAACCCCCCCCACCCCCCATGAGTATGGTGTGTAACCTAGAGTTAACGACATCAGCGTGTCATGTTGTCAGTTCTTACCTCCCAAACACACTTAACCTCAATCCAAACCTCTTCACGTGCCGTCCTCGTCGAGCTCGAGCCACAGATGACTTTCAGGAATCTCCTACAGCGGAAGCGTCTGGTGTCATGCTGCTGGTTTCCTCCCTCCTTTTTAACAACCTCTCTTCCTCTCCTCTCCCCCGTCCAGATGCCTCAGTTCGAGAAGTCGACGGTCCACATGAGGGACCCCGAGAGGGTGGAGCAGATCATCTGTGGCCTCATCAAAGGAGGAGCCTCCAAACTACAGGTAGGACACCCACGTCCTGAATTGGTGAACTGGCGCCACCCGGTGGTACTGAAGTTCCCAAGTCTTTAGCAACTGGGAAACCACTTTGAATGGATTCAGCCCTTTTCAGGCTGCTCTTGTTTATCTGGAACATGCACTCGCTTCCCGCTTTGTGTTTTTACATGTCGAGATGCAACAGAGAATGAAAGTCCAGCATCCAAGTGTCTGTGTGGTGTTTTAGGTCACTCGCTCCGTTATGTTTCCCCACATCGAGGTCCTTTTTGTTTCTTCCAGTGTCTGTTGTGTCCGATTCTCGAACTCCTCCGGTTGTGGTAAATGAAATGTTTTCTTTGTCTCCGTTGCAGATCATCACAGACTTCGACATGACGTTAAGCAAGTTCGCCGTCAACGGCAAACGCTGTCCGTCGTGCCACAGTAAGTGCAACCAGAAAATGGGACGTTTATGAGGCCTGTTTCGCTCGGGACTAGCATTACCTGAGGTAATCTAGTCATTTGTAATCATTCCGGAGGTCGTTACGCAGAGCCTTGGCATCATATTAGGGTTAAAATAGAGACTTCACTCATCATGTTCGATTGCCCCGCAGGAAACGCACAACGGGAGTGGTTTCTAAATCACTCGACGTCGTCTGGTAATACTCATCCCGTCATAAATAGCTTCAACGTCACCTGTCGGTGTTTATTTTTGTGACCACACCTTTTGTGAATCTTGATTTTAAGAAAGTCCCTATCTCAATGTGGTTTTCTTGCTTGTTTGAAACCTTTATTCCAACGTTGTCGTCTTTTTTGTGCAGATATCATCGATAACTGCAAGCTGGTGACGGAGGAGTGCAGGATCAAGCTGCTGCAGCTGAAGAACAAATATTATCCCATCGAGGTCGACCCTTATCTCACCACGGAGGAGAAATACCCGTTCATGGTGGAGTGGTAAGAAAAATAAGGAAATAATTCTGCTCACGACCAGCAGCGCACGCTCTCCTCTTTCCACACGGTTTCACACCGACACACCCGCGTTTGTTTGTTTGCAGGTATTTCAAGTCCCACACGTTACTCGTGGAGCAGCGGCTAGAGAAAGACAAGCTGGCCGAGGTGGTGAGAGAGTCTGACGCTGCCCTCAGGTGCGTGTTCCTCAACGCTTTCCTGGTCTGCAGTTTACTGTTGCATTGTGGGTATTTAGCTGACGGTGATGTAGAAAGGCCACGACTGAGTGAGGAGGTTTTGTACTCCAAAGACAAAATGCTGAATGATGCGTTTGTGTCTTTAATGTGATCATTTAAACACCGTAAACTCATTTATTCATGTTTCCTGATGCGGTTTAATATTTGTTTGGGTATTGTTTGCAAAAATAGAAGAAAAATAACTGGACTTTATTTGGATTTACTATCCATTCATGAACAAAATGCTACATGTTTGTATCTATAAGTTCAACTCTTTAATTAAGTATGCCAATAAAGAGCTGCAGGAGCGGAACCCGGAAATGAGTCGAGACAAAAGGTCTGAACACCAGCTGAATACATTTAACTGCTTTGTTCTGTGATATGAAGTCAGTAAGTCCCCCTCATGGTGAATTTAGAAGCTTTTACGTCTTTAAAAAGATCTTAAATGAGACGACTAGACGTCCTCACTAGAACACTAGTCCTCCTTTAGTTTAGTGGAGGAGACGTGAAGTCACGTGACCGTGGTGGAGTTCCTCTATAGACTAACGTTAACTTCTTACTTTACATGTGAAAGTATCATAAACATTTGTTTGACACAGTTTATTTTCTGCTATAATCCAGAATCCAGTGGAAGAATCAGTGTGAGGTTAATACGTCAGCCCTGCAGCACTTCTATAAACGTGTATATTATACGGTTGATTGTGCCTCTCACTGACGTGTCCCTCTGGGCTTGCTTTCAGGGAGGGATATGAGCAGTTCTTTGACCGCCTGCAGCAGCACAATGTGCCCGTCTTCGTCTTCTCCGCTGGCCTAGGCGATGTCCTGGAGGAAATCATCCGCCAGGCCGGAGTCTACCACCCCAACGTCAAGGTCGTTTCCAACTTCATGGACTTCGACGAAAACGTGAGTCGTCCACCGTTCATCTTTCTGCGTGTGTTCGAGTCCGACCTCGCGGATAAAGAAACACTTAATGTCTGATCGCCTGTTGGATCTGCTCCTCTTCTCACAGGGCGTCCTGAAGGGTTTCAAAGGCGAGCTGATCCACGTCTACAACAAGCACGACAGCGCCCTGCGGAACACGGAGTACTTCAAACAGGTGAAGGAGTACTGCAACGTCGTCCTCATGGGCGACTCACTGGGCGACATCAGCATGGCCGACGGCGCGCCCAACGTGGAGAACATCCTCAAGATCGGCTTCCTCAACGACAAGGTACGCATGAACGAGGATTCTCAAAAAACACACAGAAAATGTCCAATGGGTAGAAATCATCAGTAAACTGAGGTCATGGAGGGATCGCAGACTGTATTTAAGAAGTGGACATAGTCATCCTGACGTCGCCCATTGGTTTGTGGACTGATGTGAGGCCTCCAGTTCCACGATTTTGCCGGAAGTGACCATATCTGCACTGAGGAGGAGTGACATAGAGACCTGTCAATCACTGTGTAGCCCCGCCCTAAAGCATCCCCTGCTTTATGGTCTGTTTGACTCTAAATGGACCATAATGTACTAAATGAACATCATGCTGTATTGAAGAAGACTTGAAACTAGAGATTGCAGCCAAGGAGGGAGCTGCACTCGGGCTCAAACAGCTCGTTTTCTGTTGTGTTTTTCTGCTGCTGATTTTCTTTTTTTAAAAATAGTTTGCACTCGTGCGTCTTGACGATATCGCGCGTTGTCTTTGTTTCACAAACAAATTCTGCAACTTCCAGGAAGAGTTTTGAGTCCCGACACGATGCCAATCCAACACCAAAGGGCCCTTATTCCCTCTCTAATATCTATTTTATATTGCTGTGTGTTTATTCAAGCTTCTCAACAAAAACTACATTTTACATTTGAACACATCATCATGACATTGTAATTTACCGTAGCTGAATTTTCACTGAATGGAGCTTGAAGGCATCGTAATGTAAGTCAATGCAACCTTCGCTAACGTTAGCTGTTGTCTTATTTAGCCAGGCATGACATTGCTGCTAACGGCTAACGCTAACTAGCTCTCTTCCTGACGATTTCAACACGGATTTGTTGTTAACAATGTAGCGTTACCAACGGAAGAATAGCATCCAGGTTTGTAGTACTAGTTTGCACATGTGCAGTAGCGATAGAGCGGGTTGTACCGATCGGGTCGCGAGTGACGGTGTGTAGGTGTCCCTGTTTAGCGCAAATGAGCTGACGGATGATGTGATGGCGTGACATCAGATTGGTGCACAGACTCGACGTACTCGACAATAGCTGATGTGTTTCTGGTTCTGGTGTCGGAAGAACCGCGAAGCCGCTTTCTGAGAGTTTCCTCCTGTCTCACTCTGCAGGTGGAAGAGCGGCTCGACAAATATCTGGACTCTTACGACATCGTCCTGGTGAAGGACGAGACTCTGGAAGTGCCCAACGCCATCCTCCAGAAGGTTCTGTAACTCCACCCACAGCTGTGGGCCCGTCAGACTTCTAACACCAACCTGAACCTTCGTCGCAGGTCCAAACCCCCTCCACTGTCTCCGGATCAACCTTCCAACTCCGTTCCCCCAACTTCACCCTTTAAAGCCTTTTTGCAAAAGACGCTTTACATCTCCTGAATGAACCGTTTTAAACGTCCACACAGCAGCGTCTCTGGAGTCTTTTGTCCGTTTTGAATTGTTTCCTGATGTTCTCTCTGTCGTAACCAAAAGTGAGATAAAGCCCCAAACACACACTCTCCCTCCATCTTTTGTAATTTGCACATTATTGTTACTATTGTTGATCTGGTAATAACTGTTAGAGCTGTCCCTGCATGTCAGACGTAGAACATGCATCTGCAAATGCTACGCTACAGCTTGAGGAATTAATCGAGTACATAGAGGACAGCAGCAATATAGTGACCACAGACACAGTTTCTGTTTTAGGAGGGGGGGAGGATTGTCAACATAAAACATGGAAGTTGTGAGGAAACGCACTTTACATTCTCGTGCACGGCGTAAATCAGCCGGCACGTTGACCTACTTTGTGGCAGTCATCTTGATTTTTAGGGCGTAGGAACACAATCTGGCGCTGAGGAGCCATGTTTTTACGTCAGCTTTATTTAAACCCTGATGTTCTCAACTGGCGTCATATTAACACACAGAAGAAGAAGCAGCTCTTTGCTCTTGAAACACTCGTAGCATTTTGAATGTGTGAACTTCTGCTGACACAGCAGTCGAGTGTTCTCCGTGGTCTAAGTAATAAAGTAATGGTGGTCATTAGCAGGAAGGGGAACAGTCAAACCCCCTCGAACCAAAGTAAGAGGTGCTGCAAAGTAACAAGATTACAATATATCTAGACGTGTATGGTTTGCCTGTGGCTCATTAAAACCCAGCATAAGACCTATTTAATTTAATGGACTTCTCATTCTGTGGTTAACATTTGAGCTCTACCTCTGAACATATTCATCCAAGTTGTTTTTGGGAGGTGTCCCCATCTCCCTCTGGTCTGTTGTGTTCTGTGTTTTAAATGTGCTGCTATCACCTGCATGTTGCCTTCTCTTATCGTTAAGTTTATGAAAAAGGAGTAATTTAAAAAAATATATATATATATAGTATATCAATAAAACGGGGAATAATGTCATGCTGTATATGTGGCCATTATATATGGAAATGTATATTGTTTTATTGCATTTTGGAGGGATCTCCATAAGCATAGATGGGTGTGTTGTATTTTTATAAGCGGTTTGCTTTCTCTTTTTCTTTGGTGGGATTTGAAAATACAATAAAATGTCATTTTGTGAGCCGTGACTCTGGAACACAGACTCGACCCAAATCTGGACTAAAAAGCTCTGAAAGCTTTAATAATAATACTATAATGATATATTCATTACATCATGACAGAGAGAGTGGGATTAATGTGAGGTATGCAGCTGTAGAGTGTTGAACATGTGCTGATAGAGAGGAGGAAGTTCAGTGTGCAAAGAGAGACTGAAGGAGTGGTAGATACAGGAAGTAGTGGAGCATCAGAGGACAAACAAGATCAGTTAAAAGGGCTTCATGTACGTTTATGAATGGAACGGGTTTAATGTCCACAATATAACTTCTATATGAAGTCTTTTCTTTATTTATTAACAATGTTGTGTTTAAATGACAATTGTGAAAGTTATGTTACACACTCCGGTACAGTAGGGGGCGGTATGCACCTTAAACGTTGGTTTGTAGTCCGCCATTAAACTCATGAATATAAAATGTGTTATAAAGAATGTGTTGGTCTCCACTGAGACAGGGAGAAGGCTCATGACCCCCGAGGAGGAGCAGCCGTCCCACTGTGCTTCGTGTCGGGACGTTCTGAAGGATCCAGTCTCTACCAGCTGTGGACACTGGTTCTGCAGACGGTGCATGTATATATGTGTATATGTATATATTAGTGCTGGACAAGTTAACGTGTTATCGCGTTAACGCATTAATTAATTAATGCCGACAATTATATTATCGCGCATTAACGCAGTTTTTTTTAAATTTATTATTAAGGGACATTTTTAACACAAGAACCAGGCAGCAAGCAGTGAACAGCTGTGCTCGTGTGGCGTCACTTCCTTCTCCCCATTTATGTCTATATAGTATATATATATATATTTACACACACACTATAAATATATATAGATATATATAATAAATCTCCGGGTTTAGCCGTCTTATCTGAAGTAGAGAAAGTGAAGGTGATCGTACCCAAAGGTTCCATTACGATCAACCTTTGCTCTGAACGACTGAGTGCAGCTTGTGTTTGTGCTGCAGCGACATGATGATCACAGCTACAGGTCAGCATCTTCCTCATTCCGCTTCCTGTGAAAACATCTCACAACAGTTACACGCTCCTTCATGAGCACCAGAACATTTTATTTTCGTAAATAGAGGCAATTCATACAGAGGGAATAGTCCTTTAAGGGTCAGTCCACCAAAGGTTAGAGTCTAACCTACACCCATCATAAAAAATCAGTTATCCTTAAATCCATTGAGCCGTGCCTCAGAGGCAACACCAGCTCCTTTCTCCTTTCCTCTTCTCAGGTGAACTAGATCTCCCCTTTGACCCGTCAGCAGCGGGCAGCCGATTGGTCGACCCAGTCCCACACGTGGACGGAGCCGTCCGAGGCCGCAGACAGCAGCGTCCTCGGCCGCTCGGGATGCCAGACGTGGGAGGTGACGAACACGTCGTCGCCGGGCTGCGAGGAAACGGCGTGACCGCGGTGCTCGAACAGAGGCTGGACTTCCCGAGACTCTGTCTGCCAGACTGATGTGTTGTAGATCTGAACCGCTCCACTGAAACCTGCAGAGAGAGGTGAGGAGTTAAAAAACGAATGTATTATGTCTTATAAAGTTTAACAGTTTAGAGGAAACCTCAGTTGGCGTACCGGGGTCAGTACGCGGAGATTTTTACCTTTGGACTGAACAAAGCTAACACTTTCCCTTCATTTCCAGTCTTTATGCTAAGCTAACTGGCTGTAATTCCATAGGTGGTATGAATATTCTCATGTATCTCATGTATGCGCCTGTGAACTCACCCGACACCGCGATACAGCCGTCCAGCGCCGGAGCCCACGACGCTCTGACGTCCGGGTTGCAGCGACCCGATTGGACGTCCAGCTGAGCGCGACTCACGGCTCCTGCAGGTTTCCTCAGGTCTGAAATCACGGCCTGTCCAGCGGAGGACAGTCTGACGACGCTGCAGGAGGACACGTCCGTCCACCAGAGGACGGACTCGCCCGAGGACGCTGGTGGAGGGTGAAGCTGAGGAGCAGCAGACGTCCGAGTGTCGGCGATGTAAACGTTCCCGTTAGAGCAGCCGGCGAGGAAGACGACGTCGTCCACGAAATGTAAAGAACTCAGAGGATCATCCGAGTCCGTCTCTGTCAAACGAAAAGGACGAGAATCTGACGAGCAGCCAAAGTTCTCTTAACAATATCAGTTTGGTGCTCGTCCACTCACCACATTTTAAAGTAATATTACTTTTGGGGGATTTTGTTACTACACACTATCCTATGAGTTTTGTCGTAGTAGATTATATTTTATGACATGCTATACTATGACTATTTTCGTGAGATTTTACGAAATTTACGTTTTCATCAAAGTTTATTGGCCAAATACTGGTGAAGTATTTTAAAAGCGCTCGAGGAATCCACTGTTTTTATTTCTTTTTGATGTTTTTCTTGCAACGGGCTACAACTGCATTTTGTTGTGCAACCCTGTGTTTCACAATGACAATAGATGATCCTTGAATACTGGAATAACATAAAGGATCAATATATATATTATATCCGAACAAAGAGTTCAGCTCTGTGTGTGTCACAGGGAACAAGATTGTGTTTCTTGCTCGTGTGTACTTCTGATAATACTCTGATAAACCTCGTATTGTGATATTCACTCACTTCATTCTCTCATTCTTCTGATCTGAATTAAGTTACATTGATACACGTTATCACAAACTAAGACGGTAAATGTAAAGTCAGCTGGTGTAACGGGTTACAACAGTAATACAATGTATGAATAGCATCTTTAAAAAAAGGTTTTTAAAAAGTATGAAGTTGAACTTCAGGATTCCTCTCAGTCTCATTTGTGCTGCTCTGACGAGCTTCCAACAGAAACATGAAATGCGTGTTGAATGAGTGAGCGTGAAGATGAATGAGAGTTAACGGAGCTGCACTCAGTATCTCAGTGTTACCCAGCGCGTAGAGGATCTGCCCTGAGATCAGCTGAGTCAGCTGGACGTCGCTGCTCTGAGCTCCATGAAGAACTTGTGAGGAGAGTCGAGCTGCGATCCTGAAGCTTCCTCCTTCTGGAACACTCTTCTTCCTCCTCCTCCTCCTCTTCCTCCCCTCGACACGCCCCGTCAACCTGATCACGTCTGTCATTGGACGAGCGAGAGAACCAATCGCATTGTGAGGAAAACACGACATATTTTAGATACAACTTAATTCACAAATGTAATCCGAATGATGAAACGTATTTGTATTCTGGAAATATTAACGATAATCAAACGTCGTCTTTTCTTTCAGGTGACTTGAACTCACCGCTGTCGTCTCCTCCGACGCTCCACACCTGCAGGTCGGAGGTCAGCCCGTCGTTGGTGACGACACACCTGCAGCAACAAAAAACAACTGCTGGATTTAATATGACCGGATACGAAGGATCCATAAAAACAGACTCACATTCAGAACACTGAGCCTCCGTCATGCTTATTATTACACCATCAACATCATCCATCACTGATTCCTGAATCACTGAAAGTCTGTTTCATTATCGCTGCTTTTGATGTTTAAGTTATTAACTCATTCATCACAAGCTCCACTACAAACTCTCAAAAAGCAAAAGATATTCACTTCACAAACTCTTTTTTAATTGGCTTAAAAAATGGCTTAAAAAATGACTCAAGATAAGAAGGTACAAAGTGCTTAGTAAATATTAAAATGTAAATGCAAATATATATACATATATATACACATACATATATATACACACATACATATATATATATATATATATATATATATA